CCGCGTATGGGGGTGCATGGTGCAATACCACCTGCCGACATCAACCATCGGCAAATTCGCCAGCCGCGCGCGCTGGGGGATTCACCTCGGCATCAGTCACGAGTACAAGGCGTGGATCGTGCTGGACCTTCTCAGTCAGAAAACCGCCCACGCTCGCGACGTAATCTTCTACGAACGACTCTTCCTCGAGCAATTCCGCCACGACGAGGAGACGAACGCGAACCGCGTCTACGCAAATAACGGGCACAACTATGCAACGCCCGAAGACGAAGCCGCTGCAGCAATTCTGGAGCAGGACACTAGGGGCGAGTTCACATGGGAAGAACGGCGGAGCAGCGATGACGACGAGGACGATTCCTCGGGAGGAGGAATGGGCGGAACAAGCAGAAGCGGCAGAGGCGCAGCACCACCAGCGCCACCTGAACCAGAGAGCGATGACGACGATGTGCAGGAAGTCATCCCGCAACGTCGCCACGACAGCACCGTCTCAGGACTACAACTGCTCGGACTTCACACCGCAACCTCGAAAGCGCCACGTGTCATCGAGCCCCGAAACCCGCGCGAAGCTCTCACTGGACCGCACAGCAAAGAATGGCACGAGGCGATGGACGCAGAAATTAAGGCGCTCGAATCCCGAGATACCTGGGTGTTAGTCGACCGTGCGGCAATCAAAGGCGCAAGGATCCTTTCGGGCAAGTAGGTCTTCCACGTGAAGACCGCAGCGGATGGAACAATCGAGCGCTTCAAGGCGCGTTGGGTGGTTCGCGGCTACGACCAGAGGCATGGCATCGACTTCGACCAGACATTCGCTCCAGTCAGTCGCCACACCTCCGTTCGAATCTTGCTCGCCATCGCAGCTGCAAGGCACCTGCCACTCCGCCAGATCGACGTGAAGAACGCGTTCCTGTACGCGTTAGTGGACGCCGTGATCTACGTAGAACAGCCGCACACATACGGCGAAGGGGACTCGCGCGTGTGTCAACTGCGCAAGTCGCTCTACGGGATCAAGCAGGCACCGAGGCTGTGGCAGCAGTATCTGCACAACATTCTACTTGAAATCGGGTTCAAGCAGATGCCCCACGATCCAGGAATGTACCGCCGCGATTTCCGCGGCGAATACATCCTCCTCACAGTTTACGTCGACGACTTGCTCTACACAGGCTCAAACAACGAGCTACTCGAGCAGTTCGAGAAGGCCCTGGCGGGGCGCGTCGACATCACATGCAACTACGAGGTGAAGCAGTTCTTAGGCCTCAACATCTCCTACGCGCCTGAGGCCATTCACCTCTCAGCGGCTAAGTACGCAGAGGAGTTAGGGAAGCGGTTCAACATCTCACCTGCACCCCTCTCAACTCCCTACCGAACCCCTGGACCGAACCACAAACCTGACAACAAAGCCCTACCCCCTGCTGGAATTCAGACTTACCAGCAGCAAATGGGAAGCCTGCTCTTCGCCTCTGTCGCCTGCAGGCCAGACCTCTCCTACATCGCAAGTCAGCTGGCTGAGAATCTTCTGGATCTGCTGCGCGCCCTGCATTACTTCGTCTCAACGCCCAAGATTGGGCTATGCTACTCAACTACACCAACCCCATCCTTCAATCTCATCGGCTATGTGGACGCCGATCATGCAGCAGATCCCGACAATCGACGGTCCAGGACCGGCTTCCTGTTCCGACTCGAACCAACGGGACCAATCTCCTGGAATTCGCAGAAGCAGGAGTTGGTTGCCCTGTCGTCAGCCGAAGCGGAATTCATCGCAGCAACCGCAGCAGTTCGCGAAGGGCTTTACTTACAGGAACTTCTACAGGAGGCGAAAATTCCGGCTTCGCCCACCTTTCGTCTTCACTGTGACAACCAGAGCGCGATCCGCATCGCGAACAAACCTGGTTTCGTCAACCGCACCAAGCACATTGCGCTGCGGTATTTCTTCGTGAAGGACGAAATTGACAAGGGCAAGGTCAACTTGACCTATTGCCCGACCGGTGACATGGCAGCGGACTTCCTCACGAAGCGACTACCACGCTTGCAGTATCATCACTGCTCCGAACTCAGCGGCGTGGTCAAGCAGGTCAAGTCGAGCTACGGCCAGGAGTGAAGGGGGGTGTTACGAATAGTAATACTTGATTATTACTGTGCACTCCTCACCGCAGCAAGAGAAGCACGCAGTATCGAGAACGAACGCGAAGAGTCGGACAGTTAAGAATTGACTCGAAGCTTCAGACAGTTACGGCACATCTGGATCGTCGGAGCAGACGGCATCGGGCAGCTGCAGGCAGGATGGTTTTGGCGGGAACAGTTTCGTAACTGTACGCGCCGCACGGTTGGGAATGTATTTGAATAAGGGAATGTACCCCTTAGAGTACATGGCTAGTTAGGTCGTTTCGTATTCCCCTGTACTCTTATTTATATCGTTGTATTTGCATGTTTTTATCATCTCAAGCATTTTACATTCACTCTGCTATTGAGGTCAAGGGCCCACCAACACTATTCTACTGCGTGCGAACCTTCCCGAGTAGATCCTGGCAGCGATCAACTTCTGATTCTAGCATCGACTAATAGACCGCGAACAGTATTCAGAACTATCCAATATGCACACAGTGTGGGAAGGGTATTATCGTAGCTTCAGTTTTATTTTGATTTTTTTTTTCCTAAAAAATATGAAAAAAACTGCTCTGATTGATTGTCATAGGTTTCTTCACAAAAAAAAAAAAAAAAATCTGACAAAATCTACAAACCTTTTTCCCCCAACCGTGAAAACTCAGCCTTTTTACCCCAAATCAGCATTTTTTTTTTTTTTTGCTGAATTCTGAGGCCCTGCCATAGTATTGTATAGAACTAGGGGTCTAAAAAAGGGGGATCCTGTTATTTCTAGTTATATATATGTGTTTCAATTCTGATACAGATTATTACGTGGATTTGTAACCTTCATGCTGTATAAATTCCAGGCCGCAATTATAGCACATTTTGAGGGGACGGTGTAGCCTCCGAAGTAATACTTGGGAGCAGGCCTCTCGATGTGTTTTTGGGCACCCTGCCAGAAGCGAGTCGTGGCCGACCTTCACCCTGCCACTGCAGTGTGCCAATCGCGGCATACTCAGGAAATGGCAGGGTGTTTTGTATTTTCTTGTCGGAACTGGCAGGGTAGAAATCTCGCTAACACTGCTGAGCTCTGCAGACCCGCTCTGAGCAGGACTTCGTCAAATTACAGCCTGTTCCGTCACTGAGCGAGCTTAGCGTGTTAAAGGGACTTAACTAAGTTTCCAGCTTGTCCCAGCGACAAAGACAAAATTCCGGTGTTTTTCTGTGACTTCGCCGAATTTCGGAAAGCTTGAGTGACTTAGCCGAATTTCCCGTATGTTTCAGACTTCGCTGAATGTCCAGTGTGCTCCAGTCACTTGGGCGAATTCTCTGAGTGCTTCAGTGACTTGGCCAATTTCCAGTGTTTCAGTGAATGTCGAGTGTGTTCTAGTGACTTGGGCGGATTTCCAGAGTGCTTCATGACTTAGCCAAATTCACTGGCTTAGCTGAAATTGGAGAGCACGAGAGTTCGACTCTCAAGGACTCCTTAGCAGGGTAAAAATGACTTAGACTCGGAAAAGGCAGGGCTGACAGGATGCTCTCACCTGGAATTGAAGGGTACGGTTTTAGGGTGTATTCGTATCCCGTGTCAGACCTGAAGTCATCAGCCCTTAGTCTCCAATTTGTCTCTTCCGAACTTCCAATCTCCCCACAAACGAACCACTTCGGGTTTTCCGAACCTCCACTTCGTGTCTAGCTTTGTGTCTGACACGGAATACGAATGCGCCCTTACTCATGTCAAGGCGTGTCAGGGCGGTACAAGCGTCGAAGTCAATTTCAGGGCGCATTCTTGGCTCGTGTCTGACATGAGGTCAGACACGAAGTGAAGTTGAGGATGACCTGAAGTGACCTCGAACTCTGGCAAATCAATGTTCGGAAGACCCGAAGTGGGCCACTTCGGGTCTTCCGAACCTCCATCCAAACCTCCACTTCGTGTCTGACACGAGGTAGGAATGCACCCTCAGCAGAGTGACCTTAAAAATTCACTCTGAAAAACAGGCTAATCAGGGTAAAATACCCTGACTTCCTGGGGCATGCTTGGGAGGCCCTGAAGGCACGCGGTTGAGGGCTCTCGCTTCCAGACCTTGAGCTCAGGTACGTAAGCGAACCTGCTTCTACACATCTCAAACCAGAACCGTGCCGCTGTCCTTTGGGATCCGAGCCAAGATGCTCTTGGTAGGACAGCTTCGTCATTCCCAGACCACTGGTGTGTGAGGAGCCGCAAGAGCTTCGCAACCGCAACAGTCTGGTCGAGGGATTTCCGTGTTTGCTTCGGTTTGGTTGTTGGTACTGTACTGTAGCTGTGGCCAGGGGGGGCTTTGGCACGGCGGCACTCCCCTGCCCTCAACTGACTGATGCGTACAGTACCTTGGGGTTGTCTGACTCGTCCCCAGCTCCTCCAGCTTTTTCCGTTTCACGTTGTCGTGTCGTCGTCACTTCCCTTTCGCTCGCAGTAGCGTTTCACAAAGGTCTTCAAAAGTGAGCAGTGCGTGGGAGTTCAGTGTCATCAGGGTGGTCCTGCGGAAAAGTCGGGTTTTGTATATATTTAATTTAGGATATTTTAGGGTATCAGTTGTTCGTGAAGGTGACTAACAACTGATTCCCAAACCGCGTTGTCGCGGAATTAGGTGACCAGCATTAACTTAATTTCGATGGGCACACGAGGTTCAGGCGCCGTTAGTGTATGCAGAGCGCAAAGCATTTGCATTATTCAGGCTATTTCCCTCAAGATTGCTAACATTTGACATTCTGATTTGAGATTAGGCTAGAACTTGTTGCTGCCTTCAAGACGTCGAGCGCAAGGATATTGCTACGTGCCAAACTGATCCGTCATGGATGGCGACGGATCGGCGAAAGGTGGTGACCACGATGGTAACAATCCGTACGAAGAAGGCGAGGATGACTACAACGAGGGGGATGACATGTACGGAGACGACGGTGATTATGGCGAGGAGGAAGGTGGTCCCGAGGGTTCAGGAAAAGGACGGCCGCACCCAACTGGCGATGGGCTTCACGAGGGCGATGACGGCGGAGAGTACGGCGAGGATTACGGCGAAGAGGACGGCGAAGGAGAATATTACGAGGAGGAGGCGGGTGGTGAGGGGCAGAAGGAGGGAGGCGTGACGGGCGAAGGAGAGGGGGAGTACGAGGGCCAGGAGGGGGACTGGGAGGGCGAAGGCGATTATTACGGCGAGGAAGGCGACTACGTGGACGGGGGCGGTGAGGGTGGAGGGAAGGGGGCTGGCGAGGGAGAGGAGCACTACGAGGGCGAGGAGAGGTACGGCGAGGGCGAGGAGGGGTACGGCGAGGGCGAGGAGGGGTACGGCGAGGGCGAGGAGGAAGGGGAGTGGTACGGGGAAGAAGGCGAGGGGCACGCGGAAGGCTGGGAGCACGCGGAAGGTGAAGAGTATGCTGAAGGGGGGGGGTACGGGGAAGAGGGGGAGTGGGATGGGGAGTATGGTGAAGAGGATTATGGGGAGGAGGGTGAGTATGCGGAAGAAGGGGGAGATTACGCGGAAGAGGGGGGAGTGTACGCGGAAGAGGGGGTAGAGTACGCGGAAGAGGGGGGAGAGTACCCGGAAGAGGGGGGAGAACACGCACAAGAGGGGCGAGATGAGGAAGGTGGTGGTGATGTTCATGCGGAGGGGGAAGAGGGGGGCGAAGTTGATGAAGGGCTGCAGGGGGAAGGGGGGGATATGTATGGGGAAGGAGAGGATATGCACGGGGAAGACGCGGATATGTACGACGAAGAGGGTCAAGGGGCGGGGGAGGAAGGAGTGGAGGAGCAAGGCGGAGGAGGGGGGTTGGGGAGGGGCAAGAAGGGGAGCGGCACGGGCAGCGCGGAAGGGGCTGAGGGCGGAACAGAGGAGGCCGATGAACGGTTGGGGGAGGACGATATGCACCCGGAGGTAGAGGGGGGTTACCCGGAGGAAGAGGGGGAGTACCAGGAGGAAGAGGGGGAATACCCGGAGGGGGAATACCCAGAAAAAGTAGGGGAATACTTCAAGGAAGAGGGGGAGTACCCGGAAAAAGAGGGGGAGTACCCGGAGGAAGAGGGGGAAAACCAGGAGGAAGAGGGGGAGTACCCGGAGAAAGGGGGGGAATACCTGGAGGAAGAAGGGGAATACCTGGAGGAAGAAGGGGAATACCTGGAGGAAGAGTTGGAGTACCCAGAGGAAGAGGGGAAGTATCCGGAGGAGGGGGAGTACCCGGAGAAAGAAGGGAAATACCCGGACGAAGAGGGGAAATACCCGGAGGAAGAGGGGGAGTACCCAGAGGAGGGGGTGAAGGAAGGGGAGGAACCGGGGCTACACGAAAGGGAGGGGGGGCAGCATGAAGAGGACGATGCTGAGGGGGAGGCGGAGGAAGGATTGTCGCGTGCAGGTGGCGACGAGGAGGAGGGCGCGAGGGCAGTGCTGTCGGAGGGGGAGGAGGAGCGCGCTGAAGCGACAGCGGAGGAATTGCAGGGGGAGGATGCAGGGACGGCGGGTAAGGGTGAGGGAGTTGCAACCAAGGCTCGCAGCGAGGGGATCGATGCAGAGGATGCGGATGCGGATGCGGATGCGGATGCGGATGATGGGGGAGGTGGAACGGCTGAGGTGGCGAGCGCGGAAGGCGAGGATGAGCAGGCGGACGAGGGCGGCGAGCAGAGGCTTGGAGAAGACGATGAGGGCGCTGGGGTGGCGGGGGAGAGAGAGGGGGGTGGCGAGGGAGGGGAGGAAGGGGTTGAGGACCTGGGCGAGGACGCTGAGGCAGACGGAGGGGACGTTGCAGGCCGCAGTGCTGGTGAGCGGAGCGATGAGGAGGGTGATGGGCGCAGTGAGGGCTGGGAAGGGTCACGCGGGAGGGGAGGCAGTGATGAGGAAGGGGGCGATGGGGCGATGGGGAGGCGACGAACAAGTGAGCATGGCGGGGATGCGGAGGGAAGGGGCGGGTTGTACAGTGATGAGGAGGAAGGGGGTTACGGTGGACGGCGAGGGGAGGGGAGGGGCGAGTACAGCGAGGATGATGGGAGTCAGTACAGCGATGACGAGGTGGGGGGCAGGGGACGGCGACCACGGTACAGTTATGAGGACGATGAGGGCGAGCGGGGGAGAGATGGGGGGCGGCCACGGGGAAGATACAGTGACGATGAGTACAGTGAGGAGGACGGGGAGTATGGAAGACGAAGGGACAGGCGTGGCGATGAAGAGGATGAGGATGAGGACGAGGACGAGGGGTACAGGCGGAGAGAGGGGTATAGTGATGAGGAGGATGGGGGCGAGAGGAGGAGAGGGCGCTACAGTGACGAGGAGGAGGAGGAGGAAGAGGAGGAGAGGTACAGGAGGCGAGGGGGGAGGTATAGCGAGGATGAGAGGTCGGAGGGTGCAGATGAGGAGGCCGCAAAAGGAGCAGGAGGGGATGAGGAGGGAGAAGGAGCGGATGGGGAGGGCGCAGAAGGGGATGAGGAGGGAGGTGCGTCTGCGGTGGATGCTAAGGGCGCTGGGCAGGGCGGCAATGAAGGAGGCATTTCGGGTGACGCGGAGGGGCGCGGTGAGGAGGAGGTGCGAGTGCAAGGCAAGGGCACACGGGCCCAGGAGCGGCATGAAGGGGAGTTGGAGGGGGGGGAGGATGCAGGGGAGGAGGTGGGGGCGGATGCTCCTCAGGATGTGGGGGAGAGGGAAGGGGCGGAGAGGGCTGGGGAGAAGCGAGGTGCGGCGAATGATGTGGGCGGTGAGGAGGAGGAAGGGTTGGAAGAAGAAGGGGTTTCTGATTCTGATGGCGGTGTGGTCATGCGAGGGGATCGACCAGGGGAGGAGGAAAGGGACCTGTTCAGCGATGGCGATGAGGAGAGGGATGCACACAGCGAGGAGGAGAGGGATATGTATGGTGATGAGGAGAGGGATATGTATGGTGATGGGGAGAGGGATGTGTATGGTGATGGGGAGAGGGATGTGTATGGTGATGGGGAGAGGGATGTGTATGGTGATGGGGAGAGGGATGTGTATGGTGATGGGGAGAGGGATGTGTATGGTGAGGGCGAAGGGGGGATGCAAAGTGAGGAGGCGAGGGATATGTATGGTGAGGAGGAAGAGGAAATGCAAAACGAGGAGGAGGGTGATATTTATAGCGAGGGCGAAGAGGAAATGCAAAGGGATGAGGAGAGGGATACGTATGGCGAGGAGGAGAGAGATATGTATGGTGAAGAACCTGAAGGTGTTGAGAGGAGTGAGGATGGATTTGAGGGAGGCGAGAGAGAGGAGGCAGAGGGGGAGGAGGGAGAGGGAGCGGGAGAGGATAGCGGATTTAGGAAGGAAAGGGCGGACGAGGAAGGGACTTACAGGGGAGGAAGTGATGGAGGAAGTGGGACAGTGAGGGAGGAGGGGGACGAGGAGGAGCAAGACGAGGAAGAAGAGCAAGGGGAGGGGCGTGAGGAGGGGTTGGAGAGAGATGCGGAGCAGGGCGAGGCAGACGAGGGGAGCGAGAGGGGAGGGGCAGGAGCTGATGTTGAAGGGATGGATGAGGAAGGGGATGACTATAAAGAGAGAGGGGAAGAGCTCTATGACGAGGACGAGGAGGATGGGCTGACTGGAGGCATGCATGGGAGGCGAGGGGGGATGAGGGAGGAGGAGGAGGAAGAGGGGGGGCTGTACGGGGACGAAGATGAGCACTCTCCTCGTGAGCTTGGAGGGAGCGAGGGGCTGGAAGGAGAGCAGGGCGCGGAGAGGGATGACGACCTGGGGGAGCAGGAGGAACTGTATGGAGAGCAGCACGAGGAGGGGGAGGAAGGGGTGGAGGAAGAGGAGGGCGTGGAGGGGGAGGAGGGGTTGGGGGCGGCTGGAGAGCGAGACGATGTGTCCGAGGAGGAGGGGTTGACACCACGGGGGTTGAGGGGGAGTGAGCAGATGAGCGTGGGGGAGGAGGATGAAGACGAGGAAGAGGGAGAGAAGGGAAGGGCGAGTGTGAATGAGGAAGAAGAAGGTGCAGATGAGAGCGAGGATGTGCTGCGGACGCCTGATGTGCTGTCCGATGAGGAGGGGGATGGGGATACGCCGAAGAATGCAAGGCCGCGTAGAGAGGGCAGCGAGGATGGGGAAGAGGAGGATCTGGAGGAGGAGCGGAGGAAGGGAAGTGAATGGGACAGCGAGGAGGAGAGAGAGCGGTCTGCGGTGGGGAGTGAGGAAGGGGGAACTCCAAGGGCGATGGGGGGAAGGAGGAGGGGAGGGAGGCGCAGAGAAGGAGAGGAGGATGAGAGCGAGGGAAGTGAGTATGGCAGGGGGCCGCGACGAGAGGGGTACAGCGACGACGAGAGGTACAGTGGCCGGGGCAGTGAGAGGGGCATGGGTGATTATAGTGACGAGGAGAGGTACAGGCGGCGATATGGTGAGGAGGATGAGGAGTTTAGTGATGAAGGGAGCGAGTACGGTCGTGGAAGGGGGGTTGGCAGGGATGGGTATAGACGCCGGGTGGATGCAGAGGAGGGGAGGAGTGAGGAGGGGTCGGAGGTGGCAAGTGATGTGGAGGGGGAGGAGCTGGTGGGCCGACGTAGTGAGAGTGGCGGACAGGGTGTGGGGCATGGGGTGGGTGGCGAGGAGGAGGCGGATGGTGAGGAGGGGAGGGAGGAGGAAGCAGGTGAAGCAGGGGTTGATGGGAATGAGAAGGCCACAGAGGACGACGATGAGGGCGGGGACGAGAATCAGGAGGAGGGGGAGGAGGGGGACGAGGTGGGGGAGGGGAAGGTAGAGGGGAAGAGGCGTGTGCGGTTTACAAAGGAGGAGGAGCATGAGGTGTGGGAGATAGAGCGGGCGAGTGATGGGGATGGGGGGGAGGACGAAGAGGAGATTGATGAAGATGATGCGCGCAGGGGAGAGGGCACGAGGCAGAGGGGGGCAGAGGAGAGTGTGGAAGGGAGTGTGGAAGGGAGTGTGGAAGGGAGTGTGGAAGGGAGTGTGGAAGGGAGTGTGGAAGGGGAGAGTGAGGGCGAGGGGAGTGTGGATGGGAAGCGGAGGGAGAGGCGGATAGTATGGCGAGACGAGGTGGGGAACGAGCTGGAGGAGACGCAGAGAGATGAGGAGGTCGAGGGCGAGGGCGAGGAGGGGCCGAGGGAGGAGCATGAGTGGGGGAGCGAGGAGGAGGAGGAGGAGGAGGATGGCAGGGTGAGGGCGGAGCCGCGCAAGGTGGGTCCGCATGACATGCAGGAGGAGGAGGTGGGGGAGGGAGAGGGGAAGGGGAGTGGAGAGGAGGAGAGCTGGCGAGAGGAGTTTGAGAGAGGCAGAGACGGGGAGGAGGATGGGGAGGAGGACGAGGAGGAGGGTGTGGAGGCACGGGGGCGGTTTGACAGGGGGAGTGGTAGAGATGAGGAGGAGGACGACGAAGACTTGTTCCCTGTGGGGGACCATGGGGAGGACGAGGAGGAGGAGGAAGAAGGGGAGACGCGGAGGTATGAGGAGGAAGATGAGGATGGGATGCCTTACACCCCCCAGACGCCTGAGTTCATGGGGCGTAGGCAGACACGCGGGGTAGGGTTTGCCCGGCGAGGGGGGAGTGATGATGATGATGGTGGGGACGAGGAGGATGAGGAGGGATCAGAACGGGACGAAGGATCGGACGTGCACGAGAGGGGAGTCGTGGGGAGGGGGAGGAGGGCGAGGAGGAGGGAAGTGTGGAGGGGAGTGTGGAAGGGTCACGGGTTATGAGGCGCGGGGTTGGGCCGCTTGGCAGCGCTACCAGCATGGGAGAGAGCTCCGAAGGCGGCGACCTTTTTCCTGTGTATGATGATGATGAGGGAGAGGGGGAGGAGGAGGATGGGCATGGGGAGGGAGGGAGGCGGCGAGGCGAGGAGAAGCTGAGTATAGAGGACGGGGATGAGTGGGACAGTGGCGAGGAGGGTGCGAGCGACCATGATGGCAGGCGGGGTGGAAAGGGATCATGGCGTGGGGAAGAGATGGGGGAGGACGAGGGTGGGGACGAGGAGGAGGAAGGGGAAGGGGAGGGCAGGGGGGTGGAGACGGGTCGAAGCAGAGGAGCGAGTGTGGGAGGCGGCGGTGCGTTCCCCAGGTCGGCATCGCAGAGCCTCCAGCGCAGCAGCAAGTACATGCGCGATGTGATGCAAGAGATGCAGGCTGAGGAGGACGAGGCGGAGGGTGAGGGCGAGGAGCGAGAGGGAGAGGAGATGGAGGGAGAGGAGGGAGAGGAGGGGGATGAGGAGATGGAGGTGAGAGCAGGGGGGTTGAGCGGCAGGGCGGGAGGTGGGGGGGCGCGGTCGCTGCTGCCCAAGTCGTCGTCGCAGTCGAGCAGTCTGCAGCGCAGCGGCAAGTTCGACCTTGACTTTCTGCACGACATTGAGGCTGAGGCCAGCGGCTTCGCACGCTCCAATGATGATGATGGGGAGGGGGAAGGGGAGGGGGATGAGGAGAGGGACAGGGCAAGGGAGGAGGATGAGGAGGGGGGTGAGAATGGCAGCATGGGAGGGGGCAGTGGAGAGGAGGCAGAGGAGGAGGATGAGGAAGGCGACAGGGCAGGTGATGATGTGGGGCTGCAAGGGAGGAGTGAGGCCAGGCGGGGAGAGGAAAGTCACAATCGTGCGTCAGCGCGCTCCCTCTTCCCCAAGTCGGCGTCGCAGAGCCTGCAGCGCAGCAGCAAGTATCTGAGCGACCTGCTCAGCGACCTGGACCTGTACGGTGATGCCCCTGGGCAGCCCGCGGGCGCGGGCGCGGGTGACGGGGGGCAGGGAGGGAAGGGGAAGACGAGGGGCAGAGAGGCAAAACGAGGTCTACAGCGCAGCAGCAAGTATCTGACTGGGGGGATGCTAGAGATGGGGGAGGAGGGCGGGGAAGGGGAGGATGAGGTGGGTGAGGAGGAGGCGGGGGCCGAGTGGGGCAGGGGCAGGGGTGAGGATGGCGGGCGCCAGGCTGCCATGGCTCGCTTCCCCAAATCGGCGTCGCAGAGCCTGCAGCGCAGCAGCAAGTACATGAGCGACCTCATGGGTGAGTTGGGCTTGCAGAGAGGTGCGGGTGGTAAGGGTGGTGATGATGGTGCTGCTGGTGGTGGGCTGAGGAGCCGGGCGTCTGGCGGGCTGGAGCGCAGCAGCAAGTACGTGAAAGACCTCATGGCGGAGCTGCAGGACGAGGGGGAGCGAGGAGAGGCGCACGAGGAGGGAGAGGAGGAGGATGAGGAGGGTGGTGGTGGATTGGGCAATGGTAGTGTGAGAGGCAGCAGTGTGGGCGGGGGGGCAGGGGGGCTGCACAGAAGCACCAAGTACGTGAAGGACCTGCTGTCTGACCTGGATCTGTATGATGATGACGTGGCTGCTCAGGCTGCTGCAGACGCTGCTGCTGCTCTCGCTGCTGCCCGGGGCGGGCGTGCTGCTGGGTCTGGTGAGGTAGAGGATTATTTATCGGAGGAGGAAAGGCATGGGCACGAGGAGGAGGAGGGGTATGGGGGGCATGAGCAGGAGTATGAGGAGGAGGAATACAGAGAGGAGGGGGAGGAGTATAGGGAGGACTTGGAGGGGGATGATGAGGAGGCAGCAGAGCGGGCGTGGGAAGCGGAGCAGCAGCAGCAGCAGAAGCAGAAGCAGCAACAGCAGGCGCAGGCATCGCAGCATTCGTCATCATCGCAGCAGCAGCTGGCGCGCAGCAGCAAGTACATGGCGGACCTCATGGACGAGCTGCGCGACCAGGAGGACGACCGCGAGCACCACGAGATGCATGCGCGCGCCTCTGCCTCCGCCACCCAGGGGGACCTGCAGCGCAGGCCCAGCGGCATGCAGAGGGCCCTGCGCAGCGGGCTGAGGCGGAGTGGTAACCACGTGGGTGACGTGCTGGCTGCCATGGGGCTAGAGGAGGGGGGTGCCGTGGGGGGTGCGGGCAAGGGGGACGGGGAGGGGGAGGGGGAGGAGGAGGCGGAAGGGATGTGGGATGAGGAAAGGGAAGAGTGGAGGGATGACGAAGGAGAGGAGGGTGAGGAGGGAAGGGAGGGGGAGGAATGGGATGAAGGAGTTGGGTATGAGAGGAGGGAGGATGGGAGGGGGTCGGAGGACGGAGAGGCGCTGATGAGAAGCCCTCGTGGTGAGTGGGAGAGGGAGGAGGGCGAGGAGGGGAATGAGGGCGAGGAGGGGAGGAGGTTTGGTGATGGTGAGGAAGGGGAGGAGGGAGAGGAGTGGGAGGAGGGAGCAGGGTCACAGCAAGATCGTGGGGAGGAGGGAGAGGAGGGAGAGGAAGAAGGGGGCAGGAGGAGGCGGACGAAAATACAGTGGAAGGATGAATCAGAGTGGAAGGGAGAGGGGGAGGAGGGAGGAGAGGAGTGGCACGGAGAGGGGGGTGAGGAGGGAGAGTGGGATGGGGAGGGTGAGGAAGGGGGGTATGGGCATGGGGATGAGGAGGAGGGGGTGGACTTGTTCCCGCAAAGCGCGCATGGTGGCATGGGAGATGAAGAGCAGATGCACGATGGGGTGCACGATGGGGTGCACGATGGGGTGCACGATGGGGTGCATGGGGGCGTGCAGGGCGAGCAGTGGGGCGAGGGCGAGGAGGAGGGCGAGCAGTGGGGCGAGGGCGAGGAGGAGGGCGAGTACGGGCAGGGCGAGCGAGGCGAGATGGCGGAGGCGGATGGGGAGCAGGGCGAGTGGGAGGGGCAGGGTGCGAGGGGGAAGGGGCGAGGGCACAGGGGCGGGGACTCCGGAGGGAGCTTTGACTTTGGGATGGGCTTGCAGGGAGTCGCGCCGGGCGAGGAGGGCGAGGAGGAGGAGGATGGGGAAGGTGGATCAGAATTTGCGGCGAGAGGGGAGGGCTTTGGGGAGGAGGGCGAGTACGAGGAGGGGCTGGAAGGGCATGGCATGGCAGGCGAGGGGTTGGATGACGGGGAGGGGGAGTACGGGAATGGGCATGAGTACGCAGGGCACAGGGAGGAGGGGTTCGAAGAGGGAGACGAGTACGATGAGGGCAGGGAGGGGTTTGGTGGGGAAGGGGAGGAAGGGTATGAGGAGGGGAGGGATGGTTATGAGGAGGGGAGGGATGGTTATGAGGAGGGGAGGGATGGTTATGAGGAGGGAGAGGACGGGTATGAGGAGGAGGGCTTTGAAATGGGGCAGGAGAGGTACGATGAGGGGGGCGAGGGGTACGAGGAAAGGGAGCACATGCACAGTGAGGGGCAGGAAGAGTTTGAGCATGGGGACGGGGGCGATGAGCATGATGGAGGTGGTGGTGCTTACAGGGGGGAAGGCGGGGAGTATGAAGACGGGGAGGACGGGGCGTATGAGGAGGAAGAGGACGGGGGGTACAAGGGCGAGAGGCATGAGATGCAGCCTGGGGATGAGGAGTATGGGGGGATGGAGGGCGGCGAGGGGGATGAGTACGAGGGTCACCCAGAGGACGAGTATGGGGCGCATGAGGAGCATGCGTATGGGCAGGCGGGCGAGGAGGACTATGATGAGTACCATGAGGGGCATGGGCATGGGTATGGGGAGGAGCATGAGCATGAGGAGGGGCATGGATACGAGGAGGAGGATGGTGAGGGCGAGGGGTACGGGCATGGGGAGGGGGAGGAAGGGGAGGAAGAGGAGGGGCATGGCATGGAGGGCGACTCGGACGAGGGGCAGGCGGCGCCATACGACCACGAGGACCACGCCTTCTACCGCGCACAGGACCAGCGTGAGGGGCAGGACGGCCACGACCACCACCACGAGGGCGGCAACGACTGGCTGCTTCCGCCTGGCTCCGGGCGGCGGGGCTCGTCTGAGTTGTACCGGGGGCGCAGCCTGGGGCGCATCGACGAGCAGGTGGCGTCGAGGGCGGGCAAGCAGCGGTCGGACCTGCACCGCGGAGGCAGCCTGAACCAGCGCGACGGGTCGTGGCATGCACAGGGCGGGCACGGGTCGCAGGGCGGGCTGCGGCGCGGGCTGCGGCGCGGCGGCAGCTTGAACCAGCCGGACGGCGAGTGGGCCCACGCGGGGCAGCCGCCGGCGCACCGGGCGTCCTCCCTGCGCCGGGGGAGCAGCCTCAAGTGGGCGGACGAGGAGGAAGCAAAGGGGAGAGGAGGGGGGAGTGCGGAGGGTGGGAAGGGGAGGGATCTGGTGCGGGGGCGGAGTCTGGGGAGGACGGACGGGGAGTGGATGGACCGGCGGGTGAACCGACAGCTGGACGAGCTGATTCACAAGGAGGGCGTGCGCATCCACAAGGGCGTGCCCTCCCGCTCCCACTCCCTGGGGCCGGGCGTGTGGAGCAGCCACGACAGGGACGAGGAGGAGGAGGGGCAGGGCGAGGGCAGTGGCGCCATAAGCATGCACGGGCGCGGCAGTGGTGGGGGCGGCACAGCGGATCAGTATGGCGATCTTGGGCCGTTCAAGCCGCGGCCGCCGTCGCGATCCCGGTCGTCGATTCCCGCGGATCAGGTGGCATCGACGGGCCTGAGGGCGTCGCGGTCCAAGTCGCTGGGCAAGAACGTGACGTGGGCCCTGGATGAGCGGCACAGCGACCGTGACAGGGACGAGGGCGCTGGCAGGTGGGCGGAGGAAGGGGGCAAGTGGGGCGGCGGGCGCATTCAGGAGGAAGAGGAGGATGGAGAGAGGCGAGCGCAGGAGGAGGATGGTTTTGGCGGGCGGGAGAGGGACGAGGAGGAGTATTTGGAAACGTTGCAGGAGGAGGAAGGGGAGGGCGAGGAGGAGGGAGAGGAGGAGGAGGAGGAGGAGGAGGAGGAGCAGGAGCGGCTGGCGAGCATCAAGTTCCAGGCGTCGCGGTCGCAGTCGCTGGGCAAGGTGGAGGCGCACTCCATGGCGCTGGGACCCATGGCGTGGCGGGGGGGCCACGAAGGGTACGACGACGAGCAGGCACAGCGCGGAGACGGGGACGAGGAGGGAGGAGGGGGGGCGGGGTGGAGGCGCGGCGGGGCGAGGGGGAAGGCGAAGCCGTCGCGGTCGCAGAGTGTGACGGCGGCGGAGGTGCTGCGGGCGCAGGTGGGCGCGCGCGGCGTGGGCAAGTCGGACCTGCTGCGCACCGACTCGGTGTTCGCCAAGCTGGACCAGCTGGTGCAGCGGCGCGGGGGACAGGGGCGTGCGGAGGGGGATGACGGGGGCGATGGGGGCGCTGATGGGGACGAGGAGGGGGTGGAGATGGATGGCGAGTATGGCGAGGGGGAGGAGGGGATGTACGAACATGAGAGGCAGGACGGGGAGTGGGATGGGGAAGGGGAGGAGCGGATGGAGGGTGAGGAGGAGTATGAGGAAGGGCAGCAGGAGGATGGGTATGAGGATGGGGAGGAGAGGTATGGCGAGGGCGAGGGGTATGGGGAGGAGGGTGAGAAGTATGAGGAAGATGGTGAGAGGTATGGGGAAGAGGGAGATGGATATGGTGAGGAGGGAGAGAGGTATGGGGAGGAGGGAGAGGGATATGGTGAGGAGGGAAGGTTTGACGGGGAGGGTGAGTATGGTGAAGAGGAGGGGAGATATGAGGAGGGGAGGGGGGTGGAGAGGGGGAGGATGAGGAGGACGACCGGGAGCGACAGATGGAGAGGGAGAGAGAGCTGGCGCTGGAGATGGCAGCTGAGATGGATGAACGGCTGGAGATGCACATGGACGAGGAGCACGAGGGGATCAACGGTCTGGATGGGTTCGATGACGAGCTGGATGGGGAGGGCAGCTTGGAGTTTGAGGGGCAGGATGAGGGGGGCTCGCAGCAGCACGAGCAGGAGCAGGAGCAGGAGCATGAGCATGGGTATGAGCATGACGGGCACGAGGGGGAGGAGGGCCATGGGGGCGACGAGCTTGGGGATGGGTACGGGGATGGGCATGAGGGCGAGTATGGGGGCGAGCATGGAGACGAGCACGATCATATTCTGGCAGGCGAGGAGGGCGAGCGCGAGGGAGAGGCAGGGCTGCTGGACGAGGTGAGTGAGGAGGTGCTGCACGCGTGGCGCCTGCCGTCCATCGGCCCGCGTGCCCCCCGCGGGTTCAACCTGGACGCCATGCACATGCCGCCCTCGCCCACCGGCAGCCCCCTCGGCAGCCCCTTTGGGCAGGGCGCGCTAGGCAGCCCCCTGGGCGGGTTTGGGTCCGTGGCAGGGGGCGATGAGGGCGGCAGGGGCGAGGGGCATGGGGGCGAGCTGGAGCAGGTGCAGGAGGGCGAGGGCGAGGGCGAGGGCTATGGGGAGGAGGGGCATGAGGAGGGGGGTTATGGGGAGGAGGGGTATGGGGAGGAAGGGCATGGGGAGGAGGGATATGGGGAGGAGGGGCATGGAGGAGAGTTTGGTGAGGGCGAAGGGTATTATGAGGAGGGGGGTGAAGGGGCTGGGGGGGAGTATGGTGAAGGGCAGCAGTACCATGATGGGGAGAGGGAGTATGAGGGAGGGGAAGGGCAGTACGAGGAGGGGGAGGGAGGATATGCGGAAGAGGGGCAGCAGTATGGGGAGCATCAGGAAGGTGAATATGGGGAAGGTGAGTATAACGAGGGTGAGGGAGGGTTTGATGAGGAGCAGGGATACGACGAGGGGGAGCAGTATGCAGCAGAGGGGCAGGGGCAGGTGGTTGAGGGGGAAGGGGGATTCCACCCAGGGGATGGGCAAGCCGAGGGCGAGCAAGGGGCGGGTGCTGATGGGGAGTACGGCAAGCAGTATGATGGGGAGCACTATAACGAGGATGATGGAGGGGAGGGTGGGTTTGGTGGATTTCAAGTGGGCGAGGAGGAGGGAGGGGAGGGATGGGAGGGCGAGGAGGGAGGGCAGGGAGAGGGGTATGGCGAAGGGGAGTATGGTGGTGAGGGGGAGTATGGTGGTGAGGGGGAGTATGGTGGTGAGGGGGAGTATGATGGGCATGCGCAAGGGGATCAGGTGGAGGGAGGGGAGTTTGGGGGCTTTCAAGGGCAAGGCGAGGAGGAGAGTGGTTACCTGGAGGAGAGGTATGGGCAAGGGGAGGGGCAGTATGGGCAAGGGGAGGGGCAGTATGGGGAGGGGGAGGGGCAGTATGGGGAGGGGGAGGGGCAGTATGGGGAGGGGGAGGGGCAGTATGGGGAGGGCGAAGGGCAATTTGGGCAGGGAGAAGGGCAATACGGGCAGGAAGATGGGCAGTTTGGGCAGGGAGAGGGGCAATTTGGGCATGGAGAAGGGCAGTATGGCGAAGGGGATTATGGGGAGGTGGGTGATTGGGGAGCCGTTGAGTACCACGAGGGCGAGGGTGATTATGATGAAGCTCACGGTGGGTATGGGGAAGGTCAGAAGCAGTCTAGTGAGGGGCACGGGGAGTATGGGGAGGGGCAGTTTGAAGGGCAAGGTCACTATGAGGAGGAAGGGCAGCAAGGCGAGCAGGGGCAGTATGAGGAGGGGGGTTATGAAGAGGGCGAGTACCGAGAAGGAGAGTACATGGGTGAAGGAGAGTATGCAGATGAAGAGGGGCATGATGGGGGGCTGAATAGCAATCAAGGCTTCCCAGGTGAGCAGCAGCAGCAGTTTCAGCAGCAGCAGCAGCAGCAGCAGCAGTTTCAGCAGCAGCAGCAGCAGCAGCAGCAGCAGCAGCAGCAGCAGCAGCAGCAGCAACAAGAGAGTTGGCAGGGAGAAGGAGGAAAGGGCAGTGGGGCAGGGGGCATGGGCGCAGGAGGGGAACATTTGGACAGCACGTTCGAGTTCATGCAGGGCGCGCTGGGGGCGCAGGGGGGGGACGAGGGTGTGGCGGAGGGCCATGGCGGGGAGGAGGATATGGGACAGGACGAGGGAGAGTATGAGGAGGAGGACGAGGAGGAGGAGGAGGAGGAGGAGGAGGGAGAGGAGGGAGAGGACGAGGAAGGTGAAGAGGAAGAGGAGGAAGAGGGGGATGATGAGGACGAGGAGGAAGGAGAGGAGGGAGAGGAAGGAGAGGAGGGAGAGGAAGGAGAGGAGGGAGAGGAAGGAGAGGAGGGAGAGGAAAGCGGCGGGTTTGCATTTAATGTTGCAGGTGAAGGTGGGGAGGAGGAAGATGATATTGAGATAGACGGAGAGGAAGGGGAGGAGGAAGATGATGAAGAAGAAGAGGAAGAGGAGGGCGAGGAGGAGGAAGAGGAAGGGAGTGAAGTGGAGGATGAGAGCGAGGCTGAGGAGGATGAAGAGGAGGAGGAGATGGAAGATGAAGATAGTGAAGCAGTGGAGGAGGAAGAGGAGGGAGAGGAGGAAGAGGATGAGGATGAGGAAGATGAAGAAGATGACGATGAGGAGGAGGAGGGGGCGGTGATAGACATATTTGGGACGGGCATGGCGGCGGGCGGGTCGCAGGGAGTGGTGGCGGCGCTGGGCGGCTCCAAGGGGCTGGCCCTGCTGCTGCAGCAGCAGCTGGCTGCCGCACGCGCCAAGGCCATGGGAGGGGGCGAGGGTGGCATGGTGGCAGGCAGTGAGGAGGAGAGTGAGCTCTCCACGCCCTACGACACCGATGCAGGTGGGTTTGCTCTATTAACTGCATTTGCATGTGCGCCACCATCGTGCATGCTGCACAACAGTGCTTGCTTCCCAGCTTGTGTTCTTTATCCACGCTCCATCTCCTCGCTCCTCTCAACCCCTTGTTTGCACCTCTGTGCCTCACCACACCTCTGAATACCCCCCTGCCGTCCATACCGTCCCACCTGTTTCCACCAGACCTTGATACGAGTGACTCCAACACATCGGGCAACCGCCGCTCCGCCATGCTTCACCACCCCGATCCCTCCGCCACCGCGCCCTCTGCAGCACCGGGCATGGGTGCGTTCCCGGCGTTTGGTGCCGGGCTGACAGCCGCCACTGCACCACGCAGCAGCCGGTCAGCCGTGGGCACGGGTGCTGGTCGCGGTGCTGCAGGCACGTCGCGGCGAGCAGCGGCGGCGGCACGGCAGCAGCGGGGGGCGGCAGCGAGCGGGGCGCGGCTGACAGCGGAGTGCTTGCTGGGCGTGCTGTCGTTCCTCGACTCGCCTCACGACTGGATCAGCTTCTCCTGCGTCTGCCGTGCCTGGCGCCAGGTGGCACATCAGGTGAGCCCAGCCAGGTGGTTCACCAGGTGAAACTCGTTGTAGCTGTCAAATTTGAGCTCCCTCAGGTTCTGCTCTCACACTTGTACACCCCCGCACCCACACCCTCTTCCCTTGCGTCCTACTCCATCCCCTTTGCCCTGCAGGGGCTCACACGGCTGAAGCTGCCGCGGGGCAAGCGGGTGAACGCCATGGGGCTGCTGAGGGCGCTCTCCTACTCGCGCAGCCTGCACTCGCTGCTGCTGCCGTCCGCCGCCCTGGACGCGCCCATCTCAGACGACTTCCTCTGCACCATTGCCTACACCTGCCCCGCCCTCACGCACCTCGCCCTCGGCCCCGACCCCGACCTGGGCTTTGCCTACGGCCCGCACGGGCTGGCCACGCTCTTCAAGGGCTGCTCGCTGCTGCAGCGCCTCTCCATCGAGGCCACCCCGCCCCGCACCGCCTTCTCTGGGGCTGCTGCTGCTGGCTCCGCAGTTTCAGGCGGCGATTCGGCCAGGGGCGTGCAGCTAAAGCAGCTGATGAAGATTCTTTTTGCCCCGGGCAGCTTGATGCCGCCAGGGGTGGGTGCAGGTGCGGGGAGGGGGGAAGTAGGAGGGGCGAGTGGAGGATTAGGTGGATCCACTCTCATGCGCCATCACCACCATCATCATCACCATCAGCACCACCATCACCAGCATCACCAGCAGCGCCACCAGCAGCAGCAGCCGCCGCCATCCACATGCCCCACATGCGCAGCCTCTGCATCCCCCTACGCCCCGCGCAGCGGCAGCAGCAGCCCGCTGCTCTTGGCTGCTGGTGGGGGTGCCATGCCCCGCGCCTACCCTGCTCACCACACTCCCATGGGAGGCGCAGGCGCACAGGGAGGAGGAGCGGGTGCAGGAGCAGCAGGCGGGGGGAACAGGGCATCAAGCATGGCAGGGAGCATAATAGGCGGCACCATCTCGAGCACCATAGCGGATGGGCTCATTGGCGCTGCCAGCGGCAGCACCTCCCTCGTCGGCCGCATCGCCAGCAGTGCTGCCGGCGCTCTCATCACCGACAGCTGGCGCTCTCTGGTTGGTGGGGATGCAGCGGGTGCAGGGACAGGAGCGGGGGGCGGAGGCGGGTGGTGGACGCCGCAGACGGGCATCATGCCGGGCCTCTCGCACTCCACCACCTCCGCTGCCCCCGCTGCTCCCACTGCCTACAGCCTGGGAGGGCTGTTCAGCAGCTTCGGCAGCGGCAATCCCAGCAGCAGGGGCGGCATGGGTGGGCTGCCAGCGGGGGTGAGCAAGAGTGTGGCGGAGCTGCTGCACGACTCCGTGCCCATCCGCCTTGCCACGCCGCCCAACTCCAGCCTCCTCCTCCACTCCTCGCCTCACCTCGCCACGCGCCATCTCAGCCCCGCGCCGTCCAGGCCTGCGGCCGTGGCTTCAGGGTCGGGCGCGTGGCCGGTGTCTGGCAGCGTGGGGAAGAGCAGCAGCGAGGGCGGGCTTGCAGGGAGAGCGGGGATGGGGGGTGGGGTGTCAGGAGCGAAGGAGGGAGGAGGCATGGGAGGAGCAGGGGAGGGAGGCGAGCCACAGGGGGTGCTGAGTGTGATTGACATCCCCGAGTCGCTGGGGCTGCTGCACCACCTGCGCCAGCTGTCACTGCACATCAACAACCCGCGCCAGCAGGTGCGCCTGCCCGACTCTATCGGCCGTCTCTCCCTGCTGCAGGACCTGCACCTCGCCTTCCCCCTGCCCGCCTTCGTGCCGCCCTCCCTCTGGTCGCTGCCGTCGCTGCAGCGCCTGTCGCTCACCGGGTGGAAGGGGCTGGCGTTCCTGCCCAACTGCCTGGACGACCTCTCCAGCCTGCGCGCGTTGCACCTGCGCTGCCACGACCTGCTCGACCTCCCACCCTCTGCTGCCCGTCTCCAACACCTCACAGAGCTGCTCTGGGAGACACCGCGCCGCGCCAAGGACCATGGGGATGCTGGTGGGGGTGGGGGTGAGGGTGGGAGTCTGTTTGGGGATCACTACCAGCACCAGCAGCAGCAGCAGCAGTCGCTGGAGAGTGCGTCGGTGCCGCCATCGCTGGGGCTGTTCACGCAGCTGCAGCACCTGACGCTGCGCAACGCCACCTTCCTGCCGGACGACCTGCAGCTGCTGGCGCCCAGCCTCACGCACCTGCAGGTGTGGGGCGCGCACGGCCACCTGCGCTTCCTGCCGCACTCGCTGCTGCGCCTGCGCCGCCTGCACCACCTCGACCTGCGCGGCGCCTTCTCCCTCGTGCCACCTGGCATCGGCTGCCTCAACGAGCTGACTCAGCTCTGCCTCGTCAGCGGATCGCTGGAAAGCCTGCCGCCGTCCATGGCTGAGCTGGCGAGTCTGGAGGAGCTGCGATTGGACGGGTGCTCGGGGGATCTGCAGCTGCCCGACATGCTCTTCGCGCGCCTCAAGCGCCTGCGCTCGCTCTCGCTGCCCACCAACGCCGCCTCCACTGTGCCGCGCGGCCTCACGCTGCTCACCTCGCTCGCCTCGCTCTCCATCGAGTGCTCTGCCTCCGTCCCCACGCCCCAACCAGCTGCCGCTCTCGCCGTCCCCGACCCCCTGCCGCTCACGCCTCCACCGCCCCCCACACCCGCTGATCTTCAGCGCCCTCGCTGCCTCCTTCTCCCCTCCACCACCTTCTCGATCCCGCTTGCCCCACCGCTCCCCCTCACCCATCCCTTCCATCACCCCCCTCCCCCCGCCCTCCTCCCCTCTCACCGACTCCTGGGACCCATCCCGCCTGCCGCCCGCTCCCACCGCGCTGCCGTCCACATCGGTGCTCCCTCTGGCATTCGGCTCGCTGGCCAGTCTGCGCTCGCTGCGCCTGCTGTGCCCGCACCTCACGGCCCTGCCGCCCACATTCGTCGCTCTGCCGCGCCTGGAGGACCTGCAGCTGCGCTTCTCGGGCTCGCTGCCGCGCTCCTTCGGCGCGCTCACATCGCTGCGCTCGCTCGTGCTCGACAGCCCCAAGCTCTACGCGCTGCCCGAGTCCATGGGCAACCTCTCCCTCCTCACCTCACTCACCCTCGCCTGTGCGCACCTCACCCTGCTGCCTGTCTCCATCGGCCAGCTCACGGTGCTGCGCTCTCTCAAGATTCTCCACTGCCACTGCCTCGAGTCCCTCCCCTCCTCGCTCTCTGCGCTGGCCAGCCTCTCCCTCCTTGACGTCTCCTGTGACAATCTCAACTGGCTGCCCGTGTCGTTTGGCCGCCTGTCTGCGCTGGAGGAGCTATCCCTGGCAAGCAAGAACCTCACGCAACTGCCCGAGAATTTCGGGCAGCTGCAGCACTTGCGCCTGCTGCGGCTCGACTGCCCGGCCCTTCAGAACTTGCCCGCAACGTTCTGGCAGTTGCCTGGGTCGTTGCGTGTGGACATGAGTGCAGAGCTGAAGCAGCGGCTGCAGCAACAACAGCAGGAGCGGCTGCACCAGGAGCAGCAGCGATTGGAGCAGGTGTGGCTGCAGCAGCAACAGCAGCAATTCCAGTTGCAGCAGCAGTTGCAACTGCAGCAGCAGGTATTGCAGCAGCAGTTGCTCCAGCTTCAGCAGCAGTGAATAACTGTAGTTACGGTATCAGCCTTTTATGTTGTGGTAATAAAAGAATCTACATCCTTATTTGTCTCCTTGTGCTGATCTTTTACCCGGGTAATGGACCCCCCAAAATTATAGACCCCTGGGACGTTCAATGGGAGGGGGTCTAATGCTATATGCACTTTCGTAATGAACCCCCCTAACTGATTTCGGGTCAAACTGTAGCGAAGATTTGGTCAAGGTAGCGCGAAAATATGGTATGTTGATTGGAGCATTTTGACCATGTGTCAGTCGCGCGTCAGACACGTGGTCAAAATTTCGCTGATGCATAATCAAGAGAGTGGCCTTTGATGCTGTAAAACTAGGGTATTTGACATGACCTACGTGAGTCTGTCCCGTACCGTGCCCTAGCGCCCGGTGCGCCTGCCGGTCACGTCGCGCCCCCTTTCCCCGTCGCGTCGCGTCCCCCCCTCCCGTCCCGTCCGTCCGTCCCGTCCCTGCCCGTCCCGTCCCCAAAAAATGGGACTATAGAGGAGGGGACACACCTAGGACTTATCGTAAAATTCTACTCATGGACACACCTGTACTTTTTTCGCACGTGCACGTGCGCTGAACTTAGCGATATCTGTTTCGCTTATGCAAATTCGTTATCCATTGACAAGTGGACACGTGTTCTGTTATATCAACACATTTCGCTGATTGCCTTCAAGGAAATCGATTGCTCTCGTCAGCAGGGTCGTGTGCCGCTCGGCGGCAATTCTGACAACTGTGAAATCAACACGTGGTGAGCCGAGACAGGTCATGAGCGCGACTGGTTTCGCGCCTTTTTGAACGAACGTGCACACACTGCGTTGGACGGGAGAGGTTGGCGATGCGTCGCGTTTCCGAGTCTGGGGTGCTCGTGCCCTTGTCCGCGATATGTCCGCGGACAAGCTCTCCTCCCGCACCATTCCCTGTGTCTTCCTTGGCTTTGTCCCTGACACGCCTGGCTGGCAGTTTTACCACCCCACCTCGCGCCGTGTCTTCCCCTCTCAGGACGTCACCTTTGACGAGTCGGTTCCTTTCTACCGTCTCTTCCCCTACCGCACTGCCCCTCTCCCTCCCCCGCCGCTTTTCCTCGCTCCAGGTCCCCCTCCGGTAGACCCCCTCCCCCCTCAGGGTCCTGCTCCTTCAGGTGTGTCTCAGGTAGACCCACTCCCCTTGGCTGAGCCTTTGGAGGTCACTTCCGACACCTCTGGCCCAGCTGAGGGGGGTGACGTTGCTGCTGACGCCCCGGCGGCCTACCGCCGCACACCACGCTTGGAGACCCCTCCGGGTTTCCCGCCGCGACCGTCTTCGCCGCCTCTGCAGCCGGTTACTGTTGACTCTGGTGCTGCTGGGGGTGGTGCTACTCGGGGTGCTGCGTCTGGGGGTGCTGAGCCTGTACATGAGGTGCTGGGGGGTGTGGAGCCTGGGGGTGCTGAGCCTGGAGGTTGCCGGGTCGGGGGGTTCTGAGTCAGCTGGCGTTCCTCCGGGTCTCGTTTCCCGGCGGGGACCTCTCTCACCACAGCAGCTACGAGAGTGGCTTGCGTGGCGTACCCGCCTGAGGCGTCGTGCTACTGGAGCTAGAGGCCCTGGAGCTGCTAGCGCTGGGGATGCTGGTGGTGCTGGTGGTTCTGGAGGAGCTGGAGCTGTTAGTCCTGGAGGTGCTCGTCCTAGAGGTACTAGAGCTGCCGAAGCTGGTGGTGCTGCCAACACTGGTGATGCTGGCGCTGCTGGTCCGGGAGGTGCTCGTACTGACGGTACTGGGGGTGCTCTCTCACCTCAGCAGCTGCGCGAGTGGTACGCTCAGCGCTACCGCCTTCGTAGTGGCGCTGCTGGAGCTAGAGGCCCAGGAGCTGGAGGCCCTGGAGCTGTCGACACTGGAGTTGGTGACCCCGGAGCTGGAGGTGCCGGTTCTGGGGGTGCTGGAGGTACTGGGGATGGAGGCCCTGGAGCTGGTGCTGTCGCCCCTGGAGTTGGGGGCCTAGGCGCTGGGAGTGCTGGTGTTTCTGGTTCTGGAGGTGCTCGTACCGGAGGTACTGGAGCTGCCATGACTGGTGGTGCTGCTGGTGCTGGTGGTGCTACTTCTAGGGGTACTGCTACTCGTGGTGTTAGTGTTCGAGGCACTGGAGCTGGAGACAGTGGTGCTGGAGGTGCTGGCCCTGGAGTTACTGGCGCGGAGGGTTCCGATTCTGCTGGTGCTGAGCCTAGGGGCGCTGAGTCTGCTGGAGGTCCTCCTGGTGCCGCGTCGCAGCGGTCACCTCTCTCGCCGCAGCAGCTGCGCGAGTGGCTTGCTTCGCGCACCCGCCTTCGGAGTCGCGCTGCTGGAGCTGGAGACGCTGCTGCTCGATGTGCCAGAGCTGGAGGCACTGGAGCTCGAGGCCCTGGAGCCGGTGCTGTCGACCCAGTAGTTGGAGACCCTGGAGCTGGAGGTGCCGGTTCTGGGGGTGCTCCTCCTGGAGGTACTGGGGCTGGAGACCCTGGAGCTGGAGGTGCCGGTTCTGGGGGTGCTGCTGCTGGAGGCACTGGGGTTGGAGACCCTGGAGCTGGAGGTGCCGGTTCTGGGGGTGCTGCTGCTGGAGGTACTGGGGCTGGAGACCCTATAGCTAGAGGTGCCGGTTCTGGGGGTGCTGCTGCTGGTGGTGCTGGAGCTGGTGGTGTTGGCGTTGGAGGCGCTGGCGCTGGAGGTTCTGGAGCTGCTGTAGGCGCTGGAGCTACTGGTGCTGGTGGCACTGCTCAGCCGCGGCTGTTCTTCGCTCCGCCGTCACCGTCGTCTCTGCCACCGCCCGACTCCGTGCTTCGCCAGGTTCTTAGCCTCCCGTCTTCTACTGGCCTCCCGTTACAGCCAGGCTCCCCACTGCCTGCTCCTCCTCCTTACACTGAGCAGACAGACTCGCTTACAGAGCGTCGTGCGCGTGCATCTCGTCCTGCCTCGCCTGTTCGCACTGGTCGCACTGGTCGTGTTCCTCGTGAGCGTCCGCCTCCTGTCCCTGGCACGCACACTATGGCACTTCGTCCTTCCTCTGTTCCACATCGTGTTCCCCTGTCGTCTCCTCCTGAGTCCTCTCTTCCGCACGTTCCGGACCCCGAGTCGGACCTGGTTCGTGCTGCTCACCCTACTGTCACGCGTGACTTAGCTACTGTTGTCACTGACCCGTCGTTTGAGTCTGCTGCTGCGTCTGCCTTAGTCTCTGAGCTTGTTGACTTTGCTGCTGCTTGTCGTCTCGACTACGCTGCCAGTCTAGTTGCTGAGTCTGAGTCTGTCTGTCCTCCGTCCGTCGGGGGTGAGTGTGCTCTTGGCACAGACGTCCTTGAGGACAGGCAGGAGGACTTTGAGTCTCTTGCGGCTGCTGTACCTCATCTCGTGGCCATGCTGCTTGCCCCTGAGGGAGACCCGGATGCACCAGACATCCCGACCCCGCGCTCTTACGCAGAGGCGATTACGGGTCCCTACTCCTCTCAGTGGCAGACAGCCATGGACACAGAGATGGCATCCTGGAAGTCCACAGGCACTTACGTCGATGAGGTTCCCCCTCCTGGGGTGAACATCGTCGATGGCATGTGGATTTTCAGGGTGAAGCGGCCGCCGGGTTCTCCGCATGTCTTCAAGGCTCGTTACGTTGCACGAGGCTTCAGTCAGCGACAGGGAGTTGACTTCTTCCAGACCTTCTCCCCCACCCCGAAGATGACCACTCTTCGGGTGCTACTGCACGTTGCCGCTCAGCGTGACTACGAGCTTCACTCTCTGGACTTCAGCACACCTTTCTGACAGGGCAGTCTGCACGAGGAGATCTGGCTGCGCCGCCCACCTGGCTTCACTGGGTCGTTCCCTCCTGGTACCCAGTGGAGCCTCCGCCGGCCAGTCTACGGTCTCCGTCAGGCGCCTTGTGAGTGGCACGACACACTGAGGACGACACTTGCGGCTCTTGGGTTTGCCCCTTCCACTGCTGACCCGTCGCTGTTTCTACGCACCGACACTTCGCTGCCGCCGTTCTACATCCTCGTGTACGTCGACGACTTGGTTTTTGCCATTGCTGACACTGAGGCACTCGCCCTTGTGAAGTCGGAGCTGCAGAAGAGACACATGTGCACAGACCTGGGTGAGCTGCGCAGCTACCTTGGCTTGCAGATTACCCGGGACAGAGCACGGCGCACCATCACACTGACTCAGTCACACATGGTGCAGCAGGCCCTTCAGCGCTTCGGCTTCACTTGGTCCTCGCCACAGTCCACTCCTATGGCTACCGGTCACTCGCTCTCAGCTCTGCCTTCGGATGAGTCCGTAGAGCCGAGTGGCCTGTACCCAGAGCTTGTAGGCTGCCTCATGTACCTGATGACCTGCACTCGACCTGACCTTGCGTACCCCCTTAGCATCCTGGCTCGCTACGTTGCGCCTGGGAGACACCGGCGAGAGCACTGGGAGGCTGCTAAGAGGGTGTTGCGCTACTTGTGCAGTACATCGGGCATGGGGCTCGTGCTTGGAGGACGGGGTGAGGTTGTCCTCACTGGACACTCGGACGCGTCTTGGGTTGACGACCTGGCTACGCAGTGGTCGTCACAGGGTTACACTTTCAGCCTTGGCTGTGGCTCTGTTTCTTGGCGGTCTACCCGCTCGTCTTCAGTTCTCAGCTCCAGTTGTGAGGCTGAGATCTACGCCACAGCCATGGCTGCTCAGGAGTTACGCTGGCTCACCTACCTGCTGACCGACTTGGGAGAGCGGCCTCGTTCTCCTCCTGTTCTGTACGTAGACAACAAGGCTGCTATTACCTTGTGTCAGGAGCACAGACTGGAGCACAGAACGAAGCACATCGCTCTACGTTACTTCCTTGCTCGAGAGTTGCAGCAGCGTGGTTAGCTTCGTCTTGCTTACGTGGCCACCCGGGCCAACACTGCTGATATATTCACCAAGGCACTTCCGTCTGGTGATCATCAGCGCTTCTGTACTATGCTAGGCCTTGTGCCTGTTTCGTCTCACTTGCTCTCTACGTGACTTTGATTGTACTGTGATTTATATATATATCCATGAATGCTTCCTCTTGCTAGGTAGTGATCACCGTACTGTTGTTGTTGCATATATACCTCTGCATGTGAACTGGCCTTGTGGCCCTTTGCTTGTGCTCGGAGTGTGTGGTGACGTTGTGATCCACCCTGAGCTTGCTTTGCTTTTCTTGACTGGTCTTGTGACCCCTTGTTCTCCCCCACTTTGCCTATGGGGGTGTGTCAAAGTATAAATGTGCTATATGTTTGTAGGCTGTAGTGGGGTAGCCCATATGGGGTATAAACCAAAGTTAGGGTTAGTACTTGTACCCAC